AGCCAGAATTTATGTTTGTCGACTTTGTTTAGATTTAGATTTGTTAATATACAATCAAAATCTGAAAATTAACATAGAATTAAAAAAGATCAATACAACATATATCATCCTAACATAATAAGTGATAAATATATAATATTGCTATAAATAAAAATAATGTGTGACAATACCTATGGTATCATAGAAATCAGGTGAATAGAATTCGCCATTGGTTTTATCTTGAGACAACCAACGTATGCGAATGCGTCTGCTTGATTTGTAGATATTTTGCATCGCTTGACAAACATAAAAGCTTCCTTCTGCATTTCTCACAGCCAAAAATTCGTTTCTAATAATAAATATTTAATAATTAATTCTCGTTCATAAATACAGAGTGTATCTGAAATAACGTACACTAATCATACAGTGCTATTCTTAATAAAAAACTGAGTCGAAAAGTCTTCTACCATTTTACAATTTTCGCAATAGTTAACAAGATATTAATTACTAAAAATCGCTGAATATTTTGGTTTTCAATAATTTTTTACTCAAATACTATCAACTTTACAGAAAAACTGCAACAGACAAAAATCATTTATTTTCTTCTCATAAAATTCTAAGAACTTTTTCAGAATTTTTTATCAACTTTTTAGTATTGCATTTTCTTATTTTTACCAACATGAGAAAATATGGTATTAAAAAATTCTGAAAAAATTCTCATAACTTTATCAGAAGAAAATAAACAATTTTTATCTCTAACAGTTTTTCTGTAAAGTTGATAGTATTCGAGTAAAAAATTATTGAAAACCAATATTCAGAGATTTTTTGTAATATCTTGTTGACTATTGCGAAAATTGCAAAATGCTAAAGGACTTTTCGACTCAGTTTTTTTATTAGGAATAGCACTGTATGATTAGTGTACGTTATTTTAGATACACCCTGTATATAAAGATATTAACAATTAAAATATCAAGATTCCTCCTCAAAATTCAAACAAAAATGAGTATAAAGGCTATAGAAATCGGCGCGGTTAACAGTGCGCAAATTAACATGTTTTTATTTTATTATAAAACTTTAATTAAAACATAAGTAAATATAAATTCGTACGTTTCGGCTCAAGTTCGAGCCATCCTCAGCGTAAACCTTTCGTGTGTAAAACACTTAAAAACTATTAAAAATTCGTGTATCACACAGTCGTGTGATACACGAATTTTTAATAGTTTTTAAGTGTTTTACACACGAAAGGTTTACGCTGAGGATGGCTCGAACTTGAGCCGAAACGTACGAATTTATATTTACTTATGTTTTAATTAAAGTTTTATAATAAAATAAAAACATGTTAATTTGCGCACTGTTAACCGCGCCGATTTCTATAGCCTTTATACTCATTTTTGATTAAAGATATTAAGTTGTTAAAATATTTTTGTAAATGGGATGCTTACTTATAGAACACAATAAGTTTGTCGTCAGGCGCTTTAGAACCAGGAGTTTTATTGAGATTTTTGACCAATAAAGCAATCTCCGGTAATGGACTTTGATAGGGTTGTGTTTGAATCCGGTTTCTCTTAGGTTTACTTGCTCCATCAGTGACTACAGTAGACGCTACCTTCAAATCTTTCAGTTCTCTAGATTTTCGTTTGGTTGTCTTCGGAGAGGTAGTGACTTTCGCGTCAGGTTTATATGTACTAGTTAATGTCGCAGTTGCATTATCGCTCGATACTTTCGAACTCTGATTTGTAGGTTTTGCCTTTGGAACATCGTTCTTAATTTGTGTATCTTCTGGCTTATGTGGAGATTGTTTTATATGTACAGAAGTATTAACGGCTTTTCCGTCTGATTCCTTTGATCCATTATTTACAGGGACCTTCTTTTCCTCAACTTTATTTTGTGCTGGTGTGCATATTGCTATAAAAATAAATATAATTGCATATAAATATAAACATTTGCATTTATCTTTCTTTATTATTTTGTAATATGGATTTATATTAGTATTTTGCTTTGATACCTTTAATTCACATAATGTTATTCTATGTACTTCATTACTTAAAATTTTACTTCATACAAAAACAATTTAAATAGATATATTATCATATATAATTATAATGTAAGACAAACAATATAATTTTAATAACAGAATACAAAATATTTATTTTTTATGTTGCTAGATACATTCTGTTACTAAATATATTCTTTCTCAAGTAAAAAAAAATGTTAATTTACACGTAGAGAATTAAGAAGAATAACATGTTACTTACAAGTATTTATTGGAAACTCTATTAAAGAAGTTAGCACTTGTTCCGATTGCATTTCACACGGTTGTTCTTGAGCAGGAGTCTCTGGACTCAGGTTGTTGTTTCTGTTGGATTCATTTTGTTTTACAACAGCAGGCACGTCTTGCTCGGTTTCAGTTTTTGTAATCTCCACACCGTTCGGAATCAATTTCTCTGCTTCTGGTTCCTTTTCCATGTTACTTCCTATGTACGGCGGGGTTTGATACACCGAGGGTCTATGGTCTTGCACCAGACTAAGTGGTTGACTGGGTGGTTGCAGCGTGACATAGCTCAGTCCGCTGCCAGTCAGGGGTTTCATTGATCCCGACTCTGATCCTGGTACCACTTTCTGTGCCATGGCATTTATGGGGAGCATGGAGTGGCTGGTAGAATACAGCGATGTACCTAGATGCCATAAATTTTAAAGCCTTATGTCCAAAATGCTAAAAATCGGACTGAGATCTTAGATGAAGAAAGAATTGATCACTCGCATTGATCGTGTAATCAAATCGTTCAAATGTAACTTAATTAATTCTTTCTCTGTTAATTCTTTTTCTGAGATCTCGAATCGATTTTTAGCATCATGGACACAAGATTTAAGACAAACACTCTTTTTCAATCACAGGAATAAATTTTATTTACGAATATAAAACCGATACAGCAACAACAAGCAGAAGATAAAGCAATCCTTTGCAATTAATTTATTTACATTGGATTATATTCCGATGACGTACCATGCGTTAATTGTATACAGTCAAGAATTATATTTTTACTACAATTCGTTCAAAATATAAAATTGTACACAACGAAATGGTTCGTACAATTACTGTTTGTACTTGACAATTACTCCGCTAATTAAACTGAATATGCTGCAAGTGTCGTATCTATTGCTATTCTCGAACATATCGGAGCAATTAAGAAACAAGAAGAAAAAAGTCACATGATAATACAAAGTTTATATAACACAATTATCATCGCGAGTACATTACGAGCACTTTTCTGCATATATTCCTACACAGCGGACCGAGTACCTGAGCGCGTTGCCGCGAACATAATTCGGCGATAAAAAAAATGGAAACGTTTGTTTCCGCTAATAGGCGAAGAACGCGAGACAGGGAGGAAAAACGCCAGAGAGAGAAAGAGAGAGAGGGAGAGGAAGAGGGAGGATAGGAGGGAGGAAGAGAGAGCGCAAGAGCGAAAACGAAAGCGAGAGAAAGAGGGAGAGCGAGAGCGAGAGAAAGAGAGAGAGAGAAACGCGGGGACGAAGAAGCGGGCGCGTGGCGAAAAGCGATGAGAAAATCGTGAAAGGTGGGAAAGGAGACGAGGCTAGCGCAGAGGCTAGCGGACACGAGGGGTAGGGCGGCGGGGGAGGGGGTAATTAAAGGAGTAAACATAAACACGGGCGAATTTTCGCCGCGGGGACGCAGCTGGCGGGACGAACGCGCGCGGCGGTTCAGGATGGCGCGCTCGCGCTCGCTACGTTACCTGCGATCCTGCAGGAGCGGGGTAGAAGGGGGGGGTGGCCGTGTAACAGGAATCCGCCACAGCGCACAGTGGTGGGTCCTCCGTGTTCGGAAGGTTGACCGCCGTCGCTCGTTGCGTTTGCCAACACGCACACACACGGGTTAGCTCGTTCGCCCAAACGTTTGGCCGGCACGCAGTGAGCCCCGTCCCACGCCTATCATTTCATACGGCGTACACGCGCCATAACGGACAAACGCGACGACGTAGCCGACTTTGGGTAGGAGCAGCCACTGTAGAAGCACGGTTAAAACACGCACGATCCGCCAAACAACAGGACCGACGAGAGCGACGAGGAAGTTACGCGCTTCTTC